TCTTTCAAATAACCTTTATTACCTTACTAATTGCTTTAAAAACAATCTTTTAAATCTAGTCTTTAATAGACTTTTTTCAACTTGTGTCTTGCACTTCCACTTTACTCTTAGTTAATAAGTTTTGCCCCCTCTAATATGTGTACTGCCTTGGGATCCTCTTGAGAACCCTCTGAACTCTGGCATACTGAGGCTGGCCTTTCCACACTGCACTGGTTCAATGCTTGGTTACTAAGTCTAGGTGTAAGAATTGCTCGGGGTCCTTGAGACCCTTAGGGAACTTTGATGCACCTAGACTCTGATTTGTCTATGGAAAATGAGGTTTGAAAGACCATTGGAGGCTTTAGGAAACTTGGGCCTAATTGCAGGCTCTCTATAGAATAGCTTCTTGATTTTCTCTTTTATTTATGTAATTCATTTCTTGGCCTGTAATAATTTGTAAACAGATATTTTGGATATTTAGTAAAAGGGTGGGTAGATGTATATTTTGTGGGGTAATATGGGTAGAAATCCTACTCTTAGGATTTTACTTTTCAGATCTGCCTACAAAACATGTTCATAGGGTTTTATTCTTGTTGAATCGGATTGCTTTTTTTTGCATAATAGAATCATGCCTATAGGATTTTACTTCTAATTTTGTTTGCATCATAATAGAGATCATGCCTATAGGATTTCACTTCTAATATCGTTTGCATCAGATAGAAACCATGTTCATAAAATTCTGCATTTGACATGTTAGAAACCATGTTTCTAGGTTCCAAGCCATCATGTCTTAAATCAATTCAAATATAGATGACATGTCTATAGGACTTAATTCCGATTCAGTTCTAATAAGTCTTTCCTTATGTTACTGCAAGTTGACTAAAATCAGTAATACGCCTAGATACCATGCCTATAGGGATTTCTATTTGCAATTATCTAATTATCCTAATAAATCAATTTCATTCCACCTAGTTTGCTTCTTAAAACTGGCCTTATTAAGCGATGACATTTTCTGAAACTAGTTCTTTCAAAATTGCTTTAATCTCATTAGATATCCTGCATATAGGTATTAAAGGGGGTCTATTTTGAAAACCTGTTTGTTTTTGCATTAATATAGACATAATATACTGCATATAGGCAAGCCTTAAGGCATTTTCAAAACCTGCATTTCCCTGAAGCTGTTTCTGTCGTCTAACGTTTCTGATTCTAATAAACTTAAAAAGGAATCCCTAGGCAACTACTAGGCTATAACTTCTGAATCTAAAAGTAGTCTATTTCTTCATAATCACTTAGAAATCCTGCTTTAGGACTTTGATTAATAAGGACATTAACTGTGTTTGAGTCGTGCTGCTGGTATGTTTGTTTGAGGAGGAAATTGTGAGCCTCTTAGTTGCTCCCATTATGTGAAAGTCCTAAATGCTTTTTGACTGTCGCCTTAGATTTTTTCCTTTAAAACCTTAGGGGTACATCTAGAACCACCTATAGGTAAAGGTCCTAACTCCCTCTGGGACAATTAAGAAGGGACGGGTAGCAGCATGCAATATGAATCAATGATCAAACACTCGCTTTGCATGACCAATAAGGGGATGGGAAGGGTAGACATGGGATATGATGACTACGCGTTAATGTCACGTGTAGCCCCTCATCGAGGAGTGTTTACCGGACATTGCGTGGGGTAACCCTATAGGATAAACAACCTAGGACCCCTCCTTACCCCAAATCCTCTCCTTGTTTAGAACTTTATTTTTATAATTTGTTCAAACATTTATTTCACTACTTGAATTGTTTGATGTGCTTTACAAATAACTTATTTGATTCAACTATTTGTATGGACTAATTTGTAAATATAAGTTCGGTCGGGACCCACAGTTGTGGACCAAGAGGGGTGCCTAACACCTTTCCCTCGAGGTTACCTCGAGCCCTTACCCTAATCTCTGGTAATGCAAACCAACACAAGAGTTAATCACTCTAGGTGCCCTAACGCACCATAATCTGTTAGGTGGTGACTCTTCAAATACCCAATTTTCAAATGGAAATGAGTCATTACACCACGTGAATATCGAAACCCGGACTCCTCCCCGCGGAGGGAAAAAGGGGGGCGCGACACCCACGTCTCGGAATTCGATAAAATTCACATCAATAGATTCCTCATCTACCCACGAGTTCATACATATCAAAAGTATCAAAATCTGACCATAAATGATCCCTTAAATCCTCAAATCTAGGTCTCCAATACCAAGCCTTAGTTTCCCCAATTTTAACCCTTAAATTTCCATAATTACAGCTCATACCATAGAAACGAGTTTTAGGTTCAATAATCTTACCTCCAGACTATATCCCTTGAATCCCTCTTCAAAATCTCCCAAAAAGCTCCAAAACCGACTTAGAAATGGTGGAATAGCTCAAAAATCGCGAAGGAAATAATTTATACCTTCTGGCCCAGGCATTTCGCATCTGCGGCCAAAATCCCGCTTCTGTGGTACCGCTTTTGCGGTCTTTGAACCGCTTCTGCGGTTTTTCACTTAAATCCTAACTTTCGCATCTGCGATGCACTGCGGTCACAGCCTTCCTAGCCTCTTTTCACTTCTGCGACTTCTTTTCCGTATCTGAGGGGGTCGCACCTGCGGCCTCCCAACCAGATGCGGTTATGACAGCAACTTCAACTTCAGCTGCCATCTCAAATTTTCATTCTTTCCGTCAACCACCCGAAATCACCCTGAGGCCCCCAGGACCTCAACCAAAAGCACAAACACATCATAAACCATCATCCAAACTTATATCAATCTTCAAAACACCTTAAACAACGTCGAATCAACCAAACATATCGGATTCAAGCCTAAGTTTCAAAAATCTTCCGAATTACACTTTTGATCAAAAAGTATACCAAACCACGTCCGAATGACCTGAAATTTTGCACACATATCCCAAATAACACAATGGAACTACTGCAACTCTCGAAATTCTATTCCGACCTCTATATCAAAATCTCACCTATCAACCGGAAAACGCCAAAATTTCAATTTCGCCAATTCAACCCTAAATCTACTCCGGACCTCTAAAACACATTCTGATCACGCTCTTAAGTCCCAAATCACCTCCTGAAGCTATCTGAATCATCGGAACTCACATTCGAGCCCTGTAACACATAAGTCAACATCCGGTTGACTTTTCCAACTTAAGTTTCCTCAAAAGAGACTAAGTGTCTCAAACCTTCTCAAAACCTTTTCGAACCCAAGCCAACCAACCCGAGCACATGTAGAACTGATAACCAAAATAATAAGAAGCAGAAATGGGAAAAACGGAGCGGTAACTCATAAGACGATTGGTCGGGTTGTTACATTACCTTTCCTAGTTGTTTGTCAATGCTTGCTTAATTGTTAAAAAGTCATTTCAAGAAGTTTAAACTGAACTTAAGAGACTTTACATATTTTCACTGTTTCATTGCTTTTTCTGGCTTTTACTGTTTCTTTATAGCCTGTTGATGTGCCTTTACGTGATTTCTTATTACTCAGTCTGCATTTATTATTATTACTCACTGAGTTAGAGTACTCACTTTACTCCCTGCACCCCGTGTGCATATTCAGGCGCATCAGGTCCTGCTTGCGAGGGTTGAGAGAGCTTCCAGCAGATTTCGGAGATTCACTAGGTAGGTGCCCGGCGATTCGTAGCCCAGTGCTTCTCCCTCTATCTTATTTCCTTCTTAGCTATGTAATAGTTATGTCGGCTCTTTTCAGACTTGTAGTTTTTATGATAGATGTTCATGACTGGTGACACCCCGATGTCGGGCTATGTCTTCTTCCGCAAACTGTATTACCTACCTTATTTTGGGATTTATTATTATGATTAAGACTTAGTTCTATTATTTAATTGCTTAAAAATGAATTGGGAGTGTGCCGGATGGCATTGTTTTCACGAGAGGCGTCATCACGACCGGATCCGAATTTAGGGTCGTGACAATTTAGCAATAGCAGCTCTTCTAGTTTCTCATGCTCCATATAACGTTCTTAAAAACAACATTTTTTATTATTGAACGCACAAATTAGACTGCAAGTTTTGGTCATGACATAGTTTAAAATCAGAATTACTTGTCTCATTTACTAATAATTCCTTTTGGATTAGTTAAGCCTTTTCTTGGATTGTTGATACTTTTTTTCTTGCAGTTCAGTATATTTAAGATAAATTATTATTGAAAAGACCAAAACGCTTAGTCTAATTATTTTTTTTAAACATACACCAATAAATCAATACTTCATTAGCAAATCAAACTATTATCGTTCAAAAATAAACTATTTGAAGTAAACAATTCTCACTATGGATTAAATGAATTCGTGATACACGACGTGTAAAAGTGAGCTAAGAATTTGTGTAACCAACCCAACTTATTCAATTGGAGGATTGAGTGAGAGACATAATTAAAAATGGGTCACGAGAATATCTCAAATTTTTTGGATTAATGGACAAAATATAGAACAAGCTAAGAGGTTGATTTTTAACCCTTTTTTGGACTAATATAGGTACTTAACATCTAGCTAAAAAAAATAAAAAAAAATGTTATAAATGGATATAGAGCGAGAAAAGATTTGATCTCTATTTCATTTTAACAAGAATTTTTGTAAGGATTCATCTTCATTTACTAGAATTCTAAAGAAGACCTTGAGACTTGGAATGATAATCAACTACTCTACCTATACACTTTAATCAGCCTAATTATAATTCATACGTTTTTCTATTTTATAAAAAAGTGAAGTTGGTCGACCAAGGATAGTTCCGAAATTTTGCATATATTGAAGGATAAATTGGTAAATCTGTCACTTAGGTCATGGATACATCTTTCCATAATCCGTATCTTTCCCTTTCAATCAATGTTAAGCTAATTTCTCTGGGTTTATATACTTCTTCATCTTAAGGTACTTCTTTTCTTTTTTATTGTTTTTTTATGTTTTTGTCTGCTTTTCTTCTCTATCTCTATTTTATAAGACCTATATCTAGCTTATAGTTTCCAAGGTACTTTTCCCCCTTTAATTTTGGGTTAATTTTTATCAAACTACCAAAAAGGAACCTTTCTGATGTGGAAGATAGCACTTCACAAAAAAAAAAACTTGAATTATAGATTCTTCGCTGTAACAATTCACGGAATAGCCCCCAGTTCGTTTTAATATTTGTATACCTAAGCCAATTAGATAATAAGGAAGGACAACCAAAAGATAATTTTGGCTGAAATTGTTTACACTAAAGGAGCCAATCTTTCCTATATCGTGACAAAGAAACAAAAAATATTGAATTAGACTATGCACATATGGTATTTGATGATATGCCTTGTCCATTTTATGTTATTGTGTACTTACTGATTCCTTTAAGCATTTGCTTTCACTATTCTGTTTCTTTTTTTTACGAAGTTCTTTTTTTTTTATGAAGTTCTTTATTTACACTTTTCTACATTGAATCTAAGAAATGATGACCTTTTTTTTATTGAAACATTTTGTATAATTCCCTTTCATCGTTATTGTTGTCTTTGAGTCAAATGTTTTCATGTTATTTATTTGAAATTTCTTCTGTCTCTTTGAAAGTGTACGTGGAAGGTGATGCCTCTACTAATAGCTACCTCCTAACTGATGTTTGATAGGATGGAACAAGAGAAAGCTCCAAGGAAGACACCAAACCCAGCCTATGGTCGTTTGTTCACATAAACGTAACAAAATTAAAAAGTGGAAGTTGGAAATATGAGTGTCAACGAGAGGTAACTGACAAAAAGATACTCTTTCAAGTAAGTCAGGATAAACTTTTAAAATAATTCTTTTTACTTGAAAGCAAAAAGGGTATGATAATTTATTATGTTACACTGTGGCCATTTAGTAAATCTGATGGTGTGTTAATGTGAAGCCTTTTTTCTGTTGTTAGATTGTGATGGTCCTATTGAATTTTAGGTACATAGTATAAGATTTATTCAACAGTCTCCCCTTCACAACAGGAAATCCTAAGAAGAATGTTAAGAAATGTAAGGGTCACAGTTTCGGCCACCCTTGCTTCAGCTTACCGTCAACACAAAGTCAAGTTGATTGCATAATTAATGAAATGAAAGAAGTGAAGTTAGGATGCTTGTGGTGTTGAATTATAATATTTAGGGTTAAGTTGATGGACTAGCGTTTTAGGATATTCATATGGAGACCATCAATTTGTCTTTGATGGTTCTGTGACACTTTCATCTGGAAGGTACTGTACATGTTAAGTTTGATGCTTTTTTTTATTTAAAAAAGGGACTCATTCATTTCTTTATAGGATGTTGCATATGTATACCTTTTCAATGCCAGGTACTCTATAATTACAGTATCTCATGGATTGTGGATTCTTTTCCTCTAATACAATTTGATGTGTTATCTAAGTGAACTTCATTAATCCAAATCAAACATATCTAACATCAATACATGTGCACTTAGCATTACTCATACACATTGAATGATATTTTTTCCCTTTTCTTCTTATGCAGCACTTACATTATAGGTAATTATTGCCTATATTGCAACATATGCAGATATATGTAGGTAGTAATATCGCCTATATTGATCAGTCTTGTTACTAACTTATTCATCTGAGTACCAACTTGGTTCTGGCAAACTTACTAATTTCTCATGTTTATATGCGGCTCTTGCCTTGATCATAAACAGAAGTATGAACAATCTGACCATACTTTTTCTTTTGTTGAGAAAGAATACTTTATCATCAATATTTGTTTATCAAATAATAACCATCTATAATATTTAACAGAGGCATGGTTACATTGACAACGTATGGTACTACTCACTATAAAATTATTTATGTGCAGTTGTTGCCTTGGTCGTGAACAGAAGTATGAACAACCTAACTGTACTTTTTCTTTTGTGGATAAAGAATACTTTATTATCAATATTTGTGTATCAAATAAGAAACTTCTATAGCATTTAACTGGGGTATGGTTACAATGACAATATATGGTACTACTCTCTATAAAACTATTTATGTGCAGCTCTTGCTCTTGGTCGTGAACAGAAGTACAAACAAACTGTGTACTTTTTCTTTTGTTGAGAAAGCATCAATATTTGTGTATCAAATAAGAATCTTCTATGGCATTTAACAGAGACATGGTTACACTGACAATATATAGTAATACTCACTAAAACTACGTTTCTACTAAACTTCTATCTTTGTAAACTAAGTTACTGGATAACTAATGAAGACATTTTGTGCATTGCTGATAAAATGTTGCGGATTTTATGCAATACCTCTTCCTACAACAGAACTTCATAGAATAATCTGGAAAAAGGATAATGATGGCAACTACTCTGTCAGCTCTTGCTATAAGCTTTGAACCTTAAGCCATCCTCTCACACAACTGGCAATTGAACTTATATGGAAAAGTATATAGTCTCTTTACTTCTAGCCCTCCTCTCCATAGTTATTGGTTTTATTTGAACAACATTGTCTAATGATTGTCTGACAAAAGGTTACACCTTATGTAATAGATTTTAACTTTGCTCCAGTAACTCAGAAGACATAAGTTTTTCTTTGCATTGTCCCATAGCTACTTAAGAATGCAAGTGTTCTATCTATGTTTGTAGTTAAATGGAATCATGCATGGTGATCTAAGAGGCGCTACCAACAGCTTTCGGAAGGAAGATAGGAACACAAGGCCGTTTCAAATACGGTACCTGCTTGAATAATATGGGCAAGCTAAAAGAAAGAAACTCCTGATGTTCTGAAGATGCATCTGCAATATACACACGAGAATGCAAATACAGATTTGAAGATGCATCTGCGATATACACACGAGAGCGCAAATGTTTGCACCTTTTAACTTTTAGACTAACTTACAAGATGTATATGACTTACTACATAACATTTGGTGTTAATTAATAAAGTTGATCACTTATACTAGATTCTGTTGTTGAAGTGTTGGTCATAGGGCCCGTGCTCTGCACGGGCAGCTAGCATCTAGTTTATTGAAAGAGCAAAAGAAAATAAAAGAGGTTCATTACAAACCGAGACCAATCTTGTCATGACCCCGGTTGGCCCTCCGTGAACCATCGTGATGGCACCTAGTCTCTATGACTAGATAAGCCTAATTTGCGGAAGAAAAACCAAAATTTGCGGAAGTAAACAATTTAAAATAGAAATAAAGTAGTAACAGTATTTAAATGTGCCGCTCGGCTTACACCATGTTTCACTCTCAATACCAATATATAAATCCAAGACCCGGAAACCCACGAATCATAAGCTAAGATCAATACTACATAGCTCTAACTTCGTAATGTCTAATAAGAACAGGAAAGTACAGAAGGGATAAATACTAAAAGCAGGAATAGAAAGGGACTTCTCGGTCTGCGGACGCGGCAGATGTACCTCGAAGTCTCTAGAGCAGTCGTCTCCTCAAGAATGATAGGCCTGAATAGCAGTACCTGGATCTGCACATGAAAAACATGCGCAAAAGGGGCATGAGTACACCACACTGGTACTCAATAAGTGCCAAGCCTAACCTCGGTTGGGTAGTGACGAGGAAGGTCAGGGCCCTACTGAGGTTAAATAAAATATAAAGATGGCAGGATAAGATAAGCAGTGCAATTGAGAATCTACAATAAGAATCTATACAAGATAATAAGAGTACAATAACGGAAACAGAGATGAAGGCAAACCACAAGGAAGTACCACTAATAACAAGGATGATAACCGGGGATCTCTTGGTATCCTCAATACATGCTAGGGATCTATTGGTATCCCGATAATCTCTTGGTATCCTCAATATATGCTAGGGATCTCTTGGTATCCCGAGTATCTCTTGGTATCCTAGGGATCTCTCGGTATCCCGAGGATCTCTTGGTATCCTCAATATATGCTAGGGATCTCTTGGTATCCTCAATATACGTGCCAGGGATCTCTTGGTATCCCGCACCTCAGTTCAGATCATAAATACGTACAGGGGATCTCCCGGAATGCCGTCCCGTAGTCCCAAATTAAAAACACACAGAAGCAACACAAGAATACTCAACTAAATGCTAATTTCGTACCAAGTAAATAGTTAATTCTAGCCTAACATGTTTCACGTAATGCAATTAAAGCAGTTTAAGCAAATAGACAATTAAGTCAATTCAACATGCTTTTCTAAACTACAACAGGCTAAATTCGCAAGTAGAATAAAGCAGGAAAAAGGAACTCAATTGAAATACTTAAAGTAAAATCGGATTTTCAACAATTAGCTTAAGTACGCACTCGTCACCTCACGTACAAGGCATTTCAATTATCAAATATATCATATCCTAAGGGGAAGGTCCCCCACACAAGGTTAGACAAGCCACTTACCTCGAACCGGCTCAAAATCAACCCGACACCACGTCTTTACCACGAGTACTCGACTACAAATGGCTAAAATCTATTCAATTCAATTGCATAATATAAATAACACCTCAAGTAACTGATTCTACAATTAAATTTTAAGCTAATACGCGAATTATGTAAAATGACGAAAATGCCCCTCGGGCCCATGCCTCGGAAGCGGGTAAAATTTATATTTTTAGAATTCTCACACTCTCACGAGTTCATGCATAACAAAATTACCAAAATCGGACCTCAAATGGTCCCTCAAATCATTACTCAAAGGTCTCCAATACTAAGCCCTAGCTTCCCCAAATTTTCACCCTTAATTTCCATGATTTCTAGCTCTAATCCGTGAAATAATAGCATAGGAACGAGTTTTAGGTCCAAATTCCTTATCTCAATAAAGTTCCCTTGAAATCCTTCTTTCAAATCGTCCCAAAAGCTCCCAAGCCGTGATAAAAATGATGAAATAAACCCCAAAGTCGCGGAACCCCTTTTAAAATAATCTGCCCAGCAGTTTACGCATCTGCGGCCTTGGGACCGCTTCTGCGGTCCTGCTTTTGCAGAGAATCGACCACATCTGCAAAAATCACTAACGTCCCAAAAATCCGCTCCTGCGTACATTTTCCCCACCTGCGGCATCGCTGGTGCGGTATGCTTCTCGCACCTGTGGCTCCTACTGGACTTCCCCAATTCCGCTTCTGCGGCTCCGCACCTACGGGACCCAAACCGCAGGTGCGGTTATTACAGATACCAACAATACAAAAATCTTCCTAAGTCCAAATTCAACTTCCGTTAAGCACCTGAAACTCACTCGAGGCCCCCGGGACCTCAACCAAACATGTCAACCAATCCTAAAATATCATTCAAACTTGTTCCAACCTTTGAAACGCTCAAAACAACACCAAAACACCAACTTAACCTCGTCAAGCCTAAGAACTCCAAAACTCTAGAAATACGCTTTCGGTCAAAAATTCTATCAAACCTCGTCCGAATGACCTAAAATTTTGCACACACGTCACATTCAACACTACGGAGCTACTCCAACTTCCGGAATTTCATTCCGACCCTTGGATTAAAATCTCACTATCAGACCGAAAACTCCAAAAATTCAACTTTCGGCATTTCAAGCTTAAATTAGCTACGGATCTCCAAAACACAATCCGATCACGCCCCTAAGCCCGATATCACCCAACGGAGCTAACGAAACCATCGGATTTCCATTCCGAGGCCGTCTTCATACTGTTCTGACTACGTCCAATTTTCCAACACCTAAACCCTCATTTAGGGACTAAGTGTCCCAAAACTCTCCGAAACTCAAAACCGAACATCCCGGCAAATCAAAATAACATAAATAAACTCAGGAAAAACATTTAATAGGGGATCAGGGCGTTAATTCTTAAGACGACCGGCCGGGTTGTCACAAATCTAGTAGAAAAGAGTTCCATTGAAGTTTACCAAATATAAACAAAACATTTAAAGGTGGGAAGCTCCAAATACAATTCTCCAAAGCAAATCCAAGCAGAGCTCTTGATTTCCCAAAAAGTGTGCTAGAGGGTCTGCCTCCCTATAACCTAAAAACATGCTCAATAAACCTAAAAATGTCCCTATAACCTAAGAGCCCGTTTGGACATAAAGAGTTTTTTTCCTTTTTTAAAAAAAATAATCACTTTTTTCCGAAATCAGTGTTTGTTTATAAAATTTTCAATTTTCACTTGAAGATGCATTTTGGAAATTTTCGAAAATTTGAAAAACTCCAAAAATCTGTTTTTCAAAAATTTCATTCAAATCACTCACAAAACTTCAAAAACAACCTAAAATTATATTCATGCTCAAACACAACTCAAAAGTTTAAATACCATTTTTACTTGAAATTTTTTTCACTTTTTTTGGAATTTTACTCTTATGTCCAAACGCCCGCTAAAAACGTGCTCAATTTTGAAATCAAATGCAGTGGGGATGCCACACTCAAAAACTGCTGACGTGGACACACTCGAAAAGAGTCCGGAACCTAAATGTGGTTCTTTTGGACTCAAAATACTTTTTTGAGTATAAAAAAAAATTACATTTCTATATAAAACGCGGTTCATAACCGCGTTTTATATAAAACACTTTAGCATACCGCGTTTTACCTAGTACCTGAAAGACAACTATATAAAATGCGGTTCAGTATCGCGTTTTATATAAAACGTGGTATTAAATCGCGTTTTATATAGTAGAATAATATAACCCTTTCTTTTTCCCACATTTCTGCCCAGNAAAAAAAGATATTATTGGTCCTACATCCTAGCCAAGCCTTCTATTATTGTGGGTTGCTTGTTTCGGAGTCAAAATTTCAAATCTTTAACTTTCCGAAAAATATAATTCGAGGTATTCCGATTTAGTTTATGTCCAAACTCATGTAAATAATGCATATTAGTTGTTTTGAATGTATTGTATGTTGTTTTGTGTTTTTTTTTGCAATTAAATTGGTATGTTATTTTTATCCGGACTAAGATATTAATATTGTAAAAAAATATGTAAAAATTGTGAAATCGTTATTATTTGTTAATAAAAATATTAATAAAGTACTATTACTATTTTATATGTATTTTTGTGAAAGTTTTGTGATTATAATGTATTTGTCTTGTTTTATCTGATTTAAATTATTTATTTGCTTAAAGACTAATAATATAGTGACTTTTAGGGTAGTAAAATGTAATGCCTTTTAGCGTAGTAAAATGTAGTGTCTTTTTGTGTAGTATAATGTAGTGCCTTTTAGCGTAGTTTCCATGTAGTTTAAGTATCTCTTATACTCAAAATACGTCAAAATAGCTTATAGATCAAACACAAACTTTGTTCAATTATAGTCAACATATATTTGGTGCTACTGGGCCGCAAATATCGAGCTTGGAACCCATATATGAATCTTTAATAATTAAATATTATATAATCATAAAAATTAATTATTTAATTTACAAACAAACATATAAAATTATAAAACTAACATGTAAAATAATAAAACTAATACATAGAATAAATTGGTACTACTGGGATCCAAATATCGAGCATGAAACCCATATGTAAATATTTAATTATAAAAATTAATTATTTAATTTACAAACTAACATATAAAATTATAATAAAACTAATACATAGAAGAATTTAGGATATCTTGGTGCTTCTAGGCTCCAAATATCGAGCCTGGAACTCATATGTGAATATTTAATTATAAAAATTACTTATTTAATTTACAACCTAACATATAAAATTATAATAAAACTAATACATAGAAGAATTTAGGATATCTTAGTGCTACTGTGCCTCAAATATCGAGTATGAAACCCTTATATGAATATTTATTTATAAAAATTAATTATTTAAATTACAAACTAACATATAAAATTATAATAAAACTAACAAATGGAAGAATTTAGGATATCTTGGTGCTACTGGGCCACAAATATCGAGCCTGGAACTCATATATGAATCTTTAATAATTAAATATTATATAATTATAAAAATTAATTATTTAATTTACAAACAAATATAAAATTATAAAACTAACATGTAAAATAATAAACTAACACATCGAATAAATT